TGTCAAGCAGGAGTGGTTGTCGCGTTCTGACGCGATAGAGAAAACGGATGCGTTAATTATCAACGCGTTTAGCAGGACCGTTATTCACTAATCTAACGTGTTTTTATGCGTGTTTTATGCTGCGTTTTAGCTTTTTTTCAAAGTATATCATAAAAGATAAAGCAAAAAAACATTTGACTTTAAAATCTTCTTTTGAAGTAGAATAACCGAAACAGAACAAAAAACAATAAGAGAAAAGAAAATAACAATGCGACCTATATCAGCAGATTTGTTCACGTTCAACAGCTAGACGACTGACAGAGTAGAAACATCCTGTCTCAAAACGTTAAACTTATTTGTCCATCTCCATTTCTTATTATTTCTCCCTTTGAATGGGCCAAGTTTAGACTTTTCACGCGAATTATCAATTGTTTCCAAGTTTCTTCTTTATTCACTTCGACAATCATATCATCAACATTATTTGATTGAAAATTTTGAGATCATTTATATTTTACATCAGCTATTGCGTTTCTTACATATAGACTTAATTTTTCATTAGTGTCATTAAAATGAAACAAAACCATTTGATTCACTTCATTCGCTTTTTTATAATCGAGATTTTCGGATAATAACATAAATGAATTATTCAATGGAGATCCTAATATTGACTGAACGCTTCGATCTGACATCAATCAAACCTTGAATTTCCAATGCTTTCGTTAAACACCAGTTAAGACTATTTGCTGATGTTTGAAGTGAAGCGTGTAAAGTGAAGTTTTGTAATGATAAAACCTATAGTTGAATAATTTCTGACATATTTATATCTTCCGGATAAAGACTTAGTACTTCAGTACTCCAAATACTATTGATACTTTTGCTCTAAATACGCAGGTTCTACAGCTTCAAACACTTTTAAACTTCCTGCATTGAGTCTAATAAGATTTTGAGCACGAATGACTGGAGCATCAGGCTTTAAATCAGATGTTTTACCGCAGACCAACCCTAGTAACGATGGAAAATTGCACGTATACTCCTGAAAGAAGCAATGCTGATGAACGTTTGCATTAGTAAGGTCATTACGGCTTCACTCTAATACATTAGAAGATAATGAGATGAACTGTGGCTTTGTTGAATTCACTCGCAAATAGGCATGAACGTAAAAAATGCTTTGAGAAGTAGAAAGGACGGGAACGTTTAAGGTTAGAAATCAGCCCACTCGCTTTTTCGAGTAAAAGTGGCTTCCTATCAACGAAAAACGCCGCAGTATTCAATCTCAGATACATTTCTTCACTAAAATCCCGTTAATTTCTCCACAATACCATTCACATCGACAACCACCAAACCAGCCCTACATGATGAGTAAACGCTCCTTCTTTCATCCTTTTTACACTCATAGAGGCTAACAAAATAATCAATAGCAATAAAAAAGAATCGATAGCTCTTGAAATTCTTTACAAAGTGAGCTAGTCAAAATGTCTTTACTGGTCGGGCGACCAAAAGAAGCGTTGAAGTACGCAAAACACCTGCAGCACGCTCCTTTAGCCATTTTTCTGTCTTAATAAAAAATTATGCACTTCTCCATAGTATACCGTTAGATAGCCCATGAAATTCTCTACAAACTGAGCTCGTCAGATCGCCTTGATGGGTTAGACCAGTCTACACAGACGACCGAAAGAGATGTTCGAGTGCCGAAAACATCAGTAGAGCAATCTTTTAGTCAATATTTTGTGAGAAAACGAAAATTATGCACTTCTCTGTAGTATACTGTTCGATAGCCCTTCAAATTCTCTACAAACTGAGCTAGTCAGAACTATATAGCCTGATAGAGGAAAGAATTCTGAGTAAAATAATATATCTCCCAGTTGTCTGTAACGTCTTTTCACCGGTATATTATGGTAATTTTCACGCCTTTTGTAGCTATTCGTAAATCGACCGCAGTTTGGGGAAAGAACATTAACCACAGCGGTAAGATATATTATTTTGCTCAGAATTCTTTCCTCTATCAGGCTATAGAGTTTGAAAGTTTTTTTGACCAAAAACCAAAGACTTGGTTTTCTAGCGGTCAGGTTTTCCAGAAACCCTATTATCAAGTTTTCTCATAAAAAGGGGATATGGATCTCATCTGATAGAAAAATGTTCCAGCTATCCAAAACAGTGTTCTGAATTGTTCCAGCTTTTACTGAAAAATCAAAAAGAAAGGAATTCTTATCATTAGGACACGCTTTACTGCATAAATAATACCCAAACGCTTGCTTTGCATATCTTTAATGACTGACCCCAGAAGTAGATATTCTGAATAGCTCAGTTTTTAGAGAATTTCAAGAGCTATCCAACGGTGTATTTTTAAAAAATAGATAATTTTTCAATAGGACAGGAAAACGACTAAAGTAGTTTGCTGCATGTGTTTTTTGTACTCTACCGCTACTTTTGTATGTCTTTGGTAACTAGCCCAACCGATCAAGATATTCTGACTGGCTCAGCTTGTAGAGAATTTCAAGCGCTATCGAACAGTATGCTATAGAAAAGAGTATAAGTTTTCGTTTTCCCACAAAATATTGACTAAGAGATTGCTCTACTAGTGTTTTCGGCACTCGAACGGCTCTTTTAGATGTCTGTCGGGACTGGCCCAACTGATCAAAACATTTTGACCAGCTCAGCTTGTAGAAAATTTGAAGGGGTATCGAACGGTATACTATGGAGAAGTGCATAATTTTTCATTATGTAGGACTGGTGTGGAAGTTGTCGATGGTATTGTAGAGAAATTAATAGGATTTTAGTGAAGAAATGTATCTGATTCCATCGGGATTGAATACTGCGGCGTTTTTTGATGATAGGAAGCCACTTTTACTCGAAAAGAGAGTGGACCAATTTGTAACCTTATACATCCTTTCTTATCACAGCTTTAATCTATTATGAACTGTTTAGTGTTCGCTTAACTATAGAATATTAACGAAAACGTCAGCAATGTAACGCCCTTATAACGCACTGTCTTAAGTTGCGGAGTTAATCGATGACAGATGTGAAAGTAGAGTTCTGTAGAGTTCTTGTTCTAATTTTTTTTCAGAGGATTTTATATGGGATTGTAGTTTAGACATTTTCTCTATAAAATGACAGATTTTGCGACTCTGAGTAATTCTTTATAGCCGACTTATAACAGTTTTCATGGAAGCCCTAATACCAGTTTTTAACTGGTGCATTCAGTCGTCATATATTGTGAAAAAGGAAAAGTTGTATTTTACCTATTTTGTGTTCTACATATATGTATTTCATTTTATCGTTTGTTTTGAATCAACTATCGTCTGTCACATTTGACTGTTGATGTCTCTTGAATAAAGACGAAACATCTCTAACAGAAAGCAGTTTATCTTCATGATTATAAAGGTGGTTTTTGTAACAAAATCATCGAAAAAGACGAAAAATGACGGGAAAAGGGGGCAAAGAGGATCGTTCACAACAGGGTGGTGTACTTTCGCGGACAAACTATTCGTCAGTGCTGTGGAAAGAATTCCAGATAAAATTTTCGACCTAAATTTACATCTAGATAAAGCAACATCTGCTCTACAAAGCTCCGAGACCTCTAGCTTTTTTCGTTTGGGAACCATGGGCATTTTGCTGGGACTACCTAGGTATCCTCGAAACCGACCATTTTTGGAGTTAGATTCTCAATAATATATGCAAACATAGGTTTTCAACTATCCTGATTCTCGTGATGATGTTTGTTTTTCGAAAACAGTTCAAAAACCTAGTTAAACCTTATACTAGGTGAAATCCCCTAGTATTTCACCTAGTATAAGGTTTAACTAGGTTTTTGAACTATTTTCGAAAAACAAACATCATCACGAGAATCAGCATAGTTGAAATCCCCATTTCTGCCTATTTTCACGTAAAATTAGAAAATTCATACCTGAGTCAGAATTGATCCAAACTTTGTCAGAATATCCAGGTATGCTCTATTTTATCTGCTCAACGAAGTTCTGTGGTGAATGAGAATAGTATAAAATATTCTCTTACTGCGAAAGACTTCTAGAAAACCTTTTGGAAAACTCAAGTATTTTATGTGGGTTTTAAAAAGTTCTATTCGACTCCAGATATGTTAAGAAAGTGCACCACCTGAAACTGGTAGTTTTCAGGGCATCTTTAGGTCGTTCAATAGCCTCATGAATTTACTTCAAAATGATGAAAACCAGAACTGTCTGGCTCATTCCGATCAAACGTTATACAGAAAACATCCGAGTGTACTGCTTTTGGACTCCGGTACTAGTATAATAAAGTACAGGAAGTAGAGTTCTTAGTATATTTTAACCAGAACTACGTCTTTTCTCTCAAAACTGTTGATTTTGGCTGAACTTTTGAAAACTTTTTTCAAAGATTTTCAGGGTACGCTCCACAACTCTCGCTTAGCTGATTATACAAGCCAGAGCTTGAAACTCTGCTTTTTCCAAGTGTTTTCCTAAAAGCAGCGCTAGAAACGAACGTGTGTTCTTCGCCGGGTTCTTTTCGAGTTTTTGTGCTACGAATCTCGGGTTGGTATTAAACGAACCATGAGGCTTCAGATTAACGTCAGTAGAATCTGATTATACGTTATTACTGAGAAAAGATATTAATTTAACTCCGGCTTTAGAAACTCTTTCTCTTTCTTTCAGACTTCTTGAGTTGGCCGGAGATAGACAAAGAAAACTGTCTGTTTATTTATCTAACCTTTAACTTACTTGATGTAGAAAACGTGATGAAATGAAAGAGAAGAAAGAAAGAAAAATGCAGTCATTTAGACCATCCAGTACATAATAAAGCAATAGACAACGAATAACCTCGTGCGCACATTTCTATACCATTCTAAAACTTACTTGCATGTCATGATTACACTGGAATTTTTTCTTTCTTTCTTTCTTTTCTACACACACCAACATCTATATATATATATATATAGATATATAGCTACTTTCTCTTCTATTTCTTCATAATATTTTCTTCTCAAACCACAGTAAACAGCCGTAGTGTGTTTAAATTAACGAAAAAAGAAAATGACGATGAGAGCTGTTGGTGTAAGAAAATATGGTGGCTTAGATGTATTTGAAGAATTAGAAAATGTACCAAAACCTACACTATCGTCACACGGAAATGCTAGCACCGATATCTTAATAAAAGTAAAAGCATGTAGTGTTAATCCAATTGACGTTAAAGTACGTGGTGGTGTCTACGATGATTACCCGGATTATTATGATCATGTAGAACCAATGAAAGATGGTAATGAAAAATATCAAATCTTAGGTTTTGATGGTTCAGGTATTATTGAAGATTTGGGTAAAAGTGTTGAACAAACAAAATTTAAGAAAGGCGATGAAGTTTACTATTTAGCATCACCATTTCGTCAAGCAACAAACGCTGAATATGTTTTGGGTATGTGGGTAGATTTATTTAGACAAACAACGTATGAAACAGCCCAGGTGACTTTATGGCTATGAGAAAACTATCAAATAAACGCGTCTGTACTCGCTGCGTTTCACAAATTTTGTGGTAAAAAAATGCGATTTCCTGTAGTACATGTTTTGGAAGAGTATTAGGCAAAAATGAGTTGGTTTTAGTAAAAGGTTTTTGAAAAAGGTCTCAGGAAGCACTTTCATAGGCCGTCACGTTTCCCGGTTTACCTGGTTTTATCTGAATGTTTGTAAATCTCTTTATTTCTAGTTAATCAATCATGTGTAGCTTTAAAACCGAAATCCTTAACATTTGAAGAAGCAGCTGGTGTTCCATTAACAACGTTAACAGCCTATCAGTCATTGATTGAACGTATGAGAATAGAAGAAAATGAAAAGTGTGCTATATTAATTATAAATGGTGCCGGTGGTGTGGGTAGTGCTGCAACACAAATCTGTTCAAAAATCTTGAAATTACCCATAATCATATGTACAGCATCAAAAGAAGAAACACAAAATTTTTGTAAGAAAATGGGTGCAACACATGTTATTAATCATCATGAAGATATTCCGAAACAAATTGAAAAATTAAATTTACAAATACCATTAAAATATGCTTACATAACGCATACGACAGTTGGTCAGTATGTTAAGGTACGTAAAGTAGTGATGTTTGTTAACTTGTAATTTACAGAGGCGGCATGGCACTCAAAACAGAAAAAGCTCTCACTAGTGCTACGTATTACAAAAGTCATCAGATCAGAAAACTTTGAAAATATCGATTTTTCGAAAAACTCCTACAGAAAAAGTAGAATAACTACCGGATTTTCACCATTTTTCGTGAAAATAGGCGTTAAACGCTGTTTTGAAAATAGTAAATGCGGCTTTTCACGAAGAACGCATAGCGCATTTTTTCCGTTAAGAATGCGTTATTGTTTTAAAATATCGTGAAAAAACGAGTTTGTTAGTTTCAGAAAAGCGTTTGTTACTATACTTTTTTTACCGTACAAGGAGGCGGGAAAATTCTATGAGTCATCCACCGGCGCAGCTGCTGTTGAAGTTCCACTTCAACGTAACACTGTCCATTTTTTCAAGTCCGTACTGCTCGCTTACACTTTCTTTTTTACTACTCTAGGATTGTTCTGAATGTCTATCACCCTTTGGTACGATGTGTAGTATTGTACAAGGTAAATTTGAAATGTTTGGGACAAAAGCAATGGCAAAATCGTTAACATTCTGCTGGGATTTACTCGGTACACGTGGTTATTACAAGATAAAATCAAATGTTATACAAGAACGGTTAGAATTATTTGCAAAATTAATTGACGAAAAACAAATTAAATCAACTGTAACAAAGACATTTGATTTCAGTTTAGAAAATTTACGTAAAGTACATGATATAGTTGAAAATGGTGGAACAACTGGTAAAATGACATTAAAAATGAGTTTTTAATTTTCTAATGGGAAACCATGTGACCGTTTTATTATATTTCGTTTTAAAAAGATTGTATCAGAATCAAATAACATAGGCTAGTAACAAACTAACAATCGATACCGCTATTTATACCACAAAATTGAGAGACGAGAAAAGCAAGAACAAAGAATTTTAGAATTTGGACAAAAGATTTCATCACATCATATAAGAAAGAAAACCAGACCATCGCATCATACAGCTTGAATAATAAAAAAATAAAATAAAACAGAGATCGTCACACCATAAGAAAAGAAATCAGATCATCATATATAGATTGACTAAAAGGAGACAGATAATCACACCATATTTAAGAAAGAAATAATCTCGGCATATAAGCTCGAGAGAACATAAACAAAGACCGATTAACGTTTATAGGAGATAAAATCTCCCTATAACACCTTCCGTCTTAGACGAGATGAACTTCTCACAAGGGAGACAAAACTGATTTGAATCTCTAAAATCTTTTAAAATCTTGTTCAGATCCTTCCAAAACTGATTTGAGGACTTTGAAGATTTCAAAAGATTTTAGAGATTCAAATCAGTTTTGTCCCCCTTGGCTTCTCATCAGCTTATCGTTTTTACCAACATAGAAAAACAAGACAAAAAAACGACTTAAGTGAATAAAAAGAACGATCAGGGGCACAGGCTACAAGAACTGGATTGATTCATCACCTATTTGTATACCGGAGTAAAGGAATGCTGTTGGTGTTGTTATCTGTATTATTATTACAAGAAGAATGAAAATCCTTGTTTTCTCAGTCATATTTCATTTGTGTTGTCTACTGATTGAAGGTCTTTTTATTAGGACCAAAATATCAATATGGCTAATTTTGAATTCGTCATCACATAACCACTTACATACGACCAATAATATTCATCATTGTATGACTTTCTAAATGCCACTGCCATGAGGAGAAAATCCCAAATGAATGATGTAGTTTTAATGACTCCATAATCACTTGTTATGCTTAAGCGCTGTAGTTGTTGACTTAATCTCAGGTGTTTCTGTTATTCATATTCTAACCTCCACTTTCCAACAGATTTTCATGAATATACCGCTGTTCATAAACATTTCTACGAAGTTGGTAAATTAATATTAACATGTTATTCATTAATAAGGTTGCCACTCAATTATTGCTTTCATTATACTTATGACCACTTGTTGTTGAAATTTCGATTGCTTATTTTCGACAACATAAGTTGTTGATGCTTTATGTTTGATAATTTCGTAGGGCCCTTCATATAATTGATCCAATTTTGATCCTTTCTGCATTTTAACCCAGGCCAAATTCCCCAGTTCATATCGCTGATCTAATCTACCACGATCATACCGCTTCCTAGCCAACTTTTCGTGATAGGTGTTGTTTTGTCTTGATATTTCTTTACGTATTTTGAAACCAGTTCTCATATAACAAACGGTACGTTATAAATGTTAATGTTGTTTTTGGAGGATGTGATGGTAAAACTACTGGACGTCCATAAAACAACTCATATGGAATATAACCGGTCGCTGAATGAAACTTGGTGTTATATGCATTGACCACGACCTTTAAATAATGGCCCCAGTCATGATGTTCTTGATGTTGTAATTTAGCTAGAACTGGACGGAATGTGACGTTAAACCTTTCAACTTGACCGTTAGATTGTGGATGGTAACCAGTTGATAATATGTGATGGCATCTCGTTATCGTAGCAATTTTGTGAACCTATCTAGTCCTACGATTTGGAGATAAAATTCTTTCTTTTGCTTCATTCTGATCGCGATACTTGTGGGGAACAAGTTAAGTATCTTTTTCGAAAAATTTTGTTTTGTTACTGAGAAATTCGAATTTTTCAAAGTCAGTGAAAAAACAATGAAACTGGCCTCGCATGCTGCCGTTTCCTCTATCAAAATTCAACTTTTCGACACAAAAAAGGTCATTTTCGGCATCAGCGTTACAAACTTAGTTGAAAAATGTGTGGTCCGGGATTATCTCCAAAATCGTAGGACTAGGTAGGTTCGTAGCTTTCCAAAATTAGCTTTCCAGACTCAGTTTGCGATCAAGATGAATTTTAAGATTTTTTTTAATTTCGTTTATGTTAATTAATAAAAAAACCTAATAATTAAATCTAATCAGAACTCTCGATACATAAACATTTATATCACAATATCTACACCTTTGTATTAAAAAATGCTGAATCGAATGATACAAACTTTATTTGGAAATATCAAACTAAGGTGGTATTGAAATCGACTGATTTGAATATTCTTCGATAGTTTGCCGTGCTAAAATGCCGTCAAAAAAGAGAAAAGCAAAGAAACAACAATCGAAGCATAAAAAACCATAACAGAAACCTCAACAGAAATCAGATTTATCACCATCCGACAGCAGTGTCAAATTAGTAAACGACGCTGCTAATTATCAACACTTTGCTCAAGTTTTCGTAGAAATTTACAAGAAACACTCGTTTCCGATTGAAACTCTGAATTTAACAGCTACTGAAAATCATTTAAGACGTAAACCAGTTATACCAATTGTAACATCTATCATCAGTAATGAATCTTCAATTCAAAATCAACAAACTGATACACAACAGAAAGATGACAATGGAGATCACTGGCAAATAATAGACCGAAGAAAACAAAAGATAAAGAGAAACGTTTGACATCGGGAATGATTCCAGTTTCACATTCTAATCAAAATGAAATACTATCACTCACACCCGCAACAAGAACAAAACAATACACTATCTCACCATCAGCAGAAAAATATGCAGTGTAATTTTCGTTTCCACCGATAAAGGTTCAGGCACATACAGTTAATTTTGATCATTCTGGACGAGTCGATAGTGATTTTAGATGAATTTAAATCAAAATGTGGAACCTCATTTCAGTTATTATCATGGAAAATTAATAATGAAAATCAATTAAATTCATATGCGGAAGATCGAGAAACAAACAGACTTTTTTCAACATCTTAAAGTTTTGATTTGTTCGAAATGCCACGGTTCTGGCCATTTTTGAAAAGTCTGTAAAGCTGTTTTGGATTCGTGTAAAATCTGCGGTGAGGACCTTCTGACTAGGGATGTTCTGTTCTCGTGAAGAATCGGAACAGCGGTACTTTTCGTTTGGTTCTAACTCGAGAACCGGAATCGCGGTTTCGATTCCCGAACCGAGAACCGAACATCCCTATTTCCGACTGATACAGAATATAGTTGTTTAGGTGAATCAAGATGTAAAAATTGTCTTGGTCCATATCTTTATTTTGAAAATTCTTGTCCATTTTTAGTCGAGTATCGTCGATCTTTAATGAATTCTTTAATTTCGAAAAATATTATATCGCCTCAATGTCGTGTTCCCGTGAATTTCGATCCCGAATAAAAATATTTTACAGCAAAAAACTACAACTCCATCATTATCTTCGTTTTCCAGTAATCCGCTAGTTGTATCCTCGAGTTTAATTCCCTGTATGATATTGGAGGTTCATTTGTATCAAATGAAATGGTTAAATTCATATAATCAGTCTAGAACATCATTAAAAATCCTAACGGAGCAGCCCCTTTGTTGGACTAAATAGTGTAGCTTTTCTAACGGAATACGCAATGAAATAAATCTAGGGTGTTTTAATATTGTCTAAGGCACCCGCAACTCGAATTTTAAGTAAAATTTTTTTCGTCTTTTTTTATACATGTTTTGATAGAGTGTGAGCTTCTGATCACGAAAAACTAGTTTTTAGCGTTTATGGACGCCCTTTTCAGGTCGAAAAAAAACCAAACTTGGAGGATGTCATTTTTCTCGAGAAATGCATCCTTTTCAAAATATGCAAAATTCTCTCTTTTGCTCTTCTTGCCACATTCTAAGAATTCCCGGCTTTTAGCTCATGTAATACTGGACGAACCTGTGCGGAAGTACCCAGTAGAAAAGTGCGCTTCTTTTCTCTTTACAAGCACAAAATCATTGCAATACTTTAGAGGAGAATATAGTGGCATTCTCCAATTTAGCATCAATTGTCTTCGTTCTGTGACTACTTAACTAGTGCCTTTTGTAACAAAAGAAAAACATTTACAAAAACATCACGTGACTTTGCCTCTGCAAAATTATAGGTTCACTTGAATTTATCTTGTTCTTTGACCTCTTTTTCGCACTGTATCCGTCTGAAATTGCATTCACACATGTCTGGTTCTCCACTCTTATTCCTATTCATTGTATATTTCATTTTTTCTTAGAAAGTTTTTATTAACCTCTTTATTTCGTCGTGCAACATCGTGAAACGAGCGTCTGTGTCGAAAAAACAGAAAATTCAAATCGAAACGCTGTTGGAGGACAGTTAAAGTCAAAGAGCTGCGGCCAGAAGATCGGTGTGTCACAAAATTGTGTGAAAAATATTTTCAAGAAGATAAAACAAAGGACGGGATGCAATAAGAACGAGAATCGGCCCCATCTCAGATCTTCTCAAAAGATATCTAAAGTGAAAGAGCATATGATATTAAGGGAGTTCTAGACCCTTGGTTTTCCTTCGGATCTCATATCTGTGAGAAATTCGATCAGCTTTGACTAATAACTCCGCGAACCCATTCCATGTATTTTTCGTACTTTTCTAAGAATACAACAAGTGAAGGAAAGTCCTATATACCATTCGATGTAGATTTAAACGACGAACAAAACTATCTATTGTTCAATTATTATGTGTACTGCGATCATCAACGTTTCTGGAATAGTACCGTTAAAAATAATCTTTTCAGCAAACGCTATTTTTTGTTAATTGGCATTTTTCACCATGAAGGAAGCATCTGGCAAATTTAGATGCGCTAGAGAAACTGTCAAAAATTAAATTTTGCATACTTTATCTGCTAAAACCAACTCCGTACGATGTGATCTTCAATGAACGAGTGTTATATTTGCTTTATTCCCTTGACGTCAGTCAACGTCACATAAACTAAAATATTTGCATGTCCACACGAAGAAATCTAAAACTTAAAAACTCTTGAGAGAAACGGTGTAGATGGCTGTAACTTGGGGACTATACTGAACATAAGCTTTAACGCTTAATGTTGCTATGTTCATTAAATTTTTAGCAGGAACTGCTTGTGGCTGTGGTCGGTTGCTATCCTCCATCGACAACATATCTAAAAGTAAACGGCATCGCAAAAGCTTATCGGTGGCGTATGTGCGAGTGATACGTTGCACACATAAACTCGCACGTCAAGGGATCAAGTGAATCGGATATGAACGTTAATTGTGTCAAACTGCTAAAACCAACTCCGTACGATGTGATCTTCAACGAACGACTGTTGGATTTGAAAGTGCGAACGCTCATTTTTCCGGATATTACTACTGCAGAGGGATGATAAAAGAGGAGAATTTGCTCTTACAAAACCTACATATAGAATGTCGTGAAAAAATTACAGTAGTGGCACACAGAATCAAACAATTTGAAAGTATGGGGTGAACCTATCATTTTGGCCAGTACTGTATACAGTCAAACTATTATTGACTACAAATACCCTACAAAGCGACTAAAGAGAGTAAAGTAAATAAAAAACTAAGGGACATATTCAGTTATCTATTAGTACAACTTTTTCATAGTTAAAAACATCTCGGGATAAAATTTGTACCTTCTTCCATCTCTGCAAAAAATTGTATTCCGACTCCTGGAAACCAATTTGTACTTTTACCAGTCAAATGTCTGCATGGGATTGCACCATGAAATACGTGTTATGTGTGTAGAAGTAAAATCTCTCGTCGAAACACTTAATTTCCTATAGGTGATAATGGAACTTAGTGCTGCTTTTGATTTATTTAGGAGTGGCTTGAAAAATGCGTACATTTGTACTATAACATATATATACTCATCTGGAACGTATACGTCAAACAATGTAAGGATTGGACATAAAAGAGGTGGAAAAATCGAGCTTCTGTACTATATAATTTCAGAATACAGTATGTGCAAATCAATAAAGCAACATGACAAACAACTCAACTAATTAGTGGTCCTGATGAACGAGGTAATATTAACTCTAGATAATAATTCCCTGAATAAATTATCAATTGAGGAACATATGACCGGAATGTTCTAGTGAGACGGGCAGAGTTCAACCTTCACAGTAAAGAAATCGGGTTGCACAAACAGAAAAAATGGTTATTACAAAATTCTGTTTAATCCCCGAAGATGTTAATTTTGGAATACTTGCAGGTGGCGCCGCCATAACAGCGCGACTTTTAATGATTTCTCGCATCAGAGCTTAACCATTGTTTTGTGATAACCATTTTTCTATATGAGCAATCTGGTTTCTATACTTTGAAGTCTATACTTTTTACCCTTTGTGTGTCTCAACGGACAAGATGTTTTCTAGATTTTCGTTATAGACCGGACTGGATTAATCACATTCTCTTCCAGAACCATCTTTCAGAAGTTTTAACTAAAAGCAGATCAAATCCAAATCGTCAATATGATTCTGTGATTTTTCTCGGAGATTTTATTTATCATTGTGACAAATGGCGTCCAACTAAACCCACTGCAAAAGAAGAGGAGGATTTTTCTGTGAGTAAGGGTCTTATCCAATCAGTTAACAAACCGATAAGAGACAAATCACAGACGTGTCTGGATTTGATTTTATGTGGTAATCCAAATTTTATTTGTGATGCGAGAGTCGAAGTTCACTCTGTTCTACGTATGATCATTCCATTGTTTTTAATTTTTCGTTTAACGATATTCAGTTGCTTTTATTTTGTTATTCCATGATGATGTTGTTGAAAACCAGTAGAAAATAATCCCGATAATAAAGAAACAAAGACTTCAAAACGCGGTAATGTAACTTTTCCCTGCACCTTGGCAATATAAGATCGGCACGAGACCTATCAGAGAACGGCACGAAACCTTTTGTATCCGCTGTGAGGAATCTTAAAATGGTTTCGAGATGGTTACAAAATTCGGAACCTCTTTCTAGGTTCTGTAAAAAATACATCTTTTCTAGAGTGTACAGATTCATAGCTGCATTCGTAGAGATGGTAAGAAAACACTGATATTCGGTAATTGAAAGGGAACGTTTATCGATAGGAAACAGCAACACCTATACAAAGCCAAGAGTTTTCTGAGAAATACGACTGCTGAAGAATTTCATTGAGCGAACTGTGTGCGATAATTTTTACAAAGACCATCGACACTCAAGTGTTGACGTCAAAGTAAGTTCCAGATGGATTTATTTTAAAGGAGTAATAATAATAGGAAGAAGGGCAGTCTGAGTACTATCGCAGGAAAATAATATTGAAACACACTTCTCGATGTTTCGTAGCAAAACCCACTTTTTGGACTATTGATAAATTTCGTCCAGATCATCATTCAACGTCCTAACAGCTTCATTTGAATCAGCGCATCTCACATACATCGGAAAGAAGGGAACAGGAAATTCTGTCTTATGACACCTTCGAGGTGAATTGCCTTGGACTAAAAACAGGTACTTTTTTAAACTTTGAGAAACTCTGATTGAGAACGAGTGGATTGGACACCAAAAGTAGAATGCCCAAATAAGGAAGGGAGATTGCTCAAGTTAATGAATAATTCTTCATCACTTGTTTTATACAATTTGGGAAGAAATGTACTCCTAGAATGCCACATTTGTCCGATATTAACAGTTTCGCCAAGCAACTCTAAATGATGTTCACCTTTTTTGAGAATATAAATATAAAACTACAAGCTGGTATTCTATAATAATGGTCCGATCTCGACTCAGTCCTAAAGCATGTGGTACAAACTAGTCCTAGTGGGACACTTTTTTTAGAAAGTAATTAAGTGCTCTTTGTTATCCTTTATCGATTAGCTAAACGTTTGTTGAACATATGATGAAGAAAGAGTTTGTTTTTTATATACGATGAATAAAATTGCAATTAAACAGTTTTTCCAGCACATAATAGAAATATGTCTTCAAAAAGGACAGGAAAATTCACACTTTCTCCCACTAACCACCACGTTTGTACTCATAATCTCTTACTTGCTTTCATATCATAATCTTAAAAACTTCTCAGACAAATAACTTAACTTGTTAGTTTACAAAGTTAAATTTGCGACAAAATTACCATTCAATAAAATGTCATATATCCCTAATTTTATATGATCGTAGTAAACGTCTTAAAGAACATGATTTTTCGCAACATTCATTTTGTTATAACTGATAATTGTTATAAATTAAATTTCAAACGAAAATTTCTTCATTATAATCAAATACTGGTAAGTCGTATTGATACATTTGCATTCTTGATGGCTGTAACGGACCTAAAATTAGAATAGAACTTAAGATAAAAGGAAAAGATGACAAATCATATTTTAAGTAGAGAAAACGTGAGAAAACTAAAATGACATAAATTTTCGTTGCTTCGGCTATGTTTTATCCAAAATTCGTTACGTCTGTCTATTTTAGATTACTGTGTCTAACAATTATGCTTCAGTCTTCGGTAGTCCAATTAAAAAAATACAAAATAGTCCTCGTTTTTATTTGGTGATTTTGTGTTTGGTTTTATCTGCATGCGTTGTACTGCGTATTTATTCAAGAATAAAATAAACTTTGAAGAAAAGTTTTGGTCACAGGGATCATTCGAGTACAGGAGCAGGAAGGAAAATCCTACGTTTGTCACTTAATGTGAAAATTGTGAACATCATCCTTTAATAGATATCAACCAAATAGTAGCTGGAAAGACTCGTATCTATTGATAACTTTACTTGTAGAAACAGTGAGAAGATGTGGAACGTAACAACAACATTATCACTACTCATGGCCACGTTACCGTCTGTTCAACATGACTTAATCCGCTATATGGGCTTCTCATATATACGTCAGACTCAGAATACTGATTCGAAGTCCGCGCGTAGATGTAAGTGTTGACAATACTCGTGTTCCAACTCCTAACAGTTAAATCTCGAAACTTTATTATCAGTAATCATTGGTACATTTTGTTTCCGAAAATCCTGATATTTTGTGTGTCGACATAAAAGCGCTGAAACTACTGAAATTGATAATAAAAATTGTACGAATACAAAGTATAGTAAGAATTATTTGTTTATTAAAGCGTAGAAACTATTTACACTTTTTTGGCGTCGACATAATTAACGTGGTTTTTGCCTAAAGGAAGGCAAAAATCACGTTGATTATGTCGACGCCAAAAAAGAAGCGAAGATGTAATTATAAAGAACCCGCTGTCGGATTCACCGACAAATTTTGCACCTGGTGTCCAATTTTTATCCAATTTGGTTCAGCGCGGAGCAAGCACCAAATTTTCTAATGAAAGAGAAGTGCACTATAAAATAAACTGTAAATAGTTTCTACGCTTTAATAAACAAATAATTCTTACTATACTTTGTATTCGTACAATTTTTATTATCAATTTCAGTAGTTTCAGCGCTTTTATGTCGGCACACAAAATATCAGGATTTTCGGAAACAAAATGTACCAATGATTACTGATAATAAAGTTTCGAGATTTAACTGTTAGGAGTTGGAACACGAGTATTGTCGGATTCACCGACAAATTTTGCACCTGATGTCCAATTTTTATCCAATTTGGTTCAGCGCGGAGCAAGCACCAAATTTTCTATTGTATGCTCTTGGAAAACCTAGCGGAATATCTGATGAACACATTCTTGCTCTCCGTGCAAGCCTGTATTCTACTCTTTCTGGTTCGTTTTTGTCGCAAGTGAAACATTTTTAATTCAACGTGACATCTATTCACGACATCCTCACTGAATATAGGATTTTATATAGTTCGATTAGCAGATGAACTATGGCCTGATCTTTGAAGGACCTTCCAGACGATCTAGTATGCTTTTTCATATATTGATACCCATTGTGGCTTAAGACTGGCTTACCGCGTTCTGTAGTTGTGAAATGCAACATTAAGGTAGATTTACAGAAAAAGGTTTAGAAAATCGTTTTACTCAGGAAAAGATCCCTTAAGTTTCTTCTTCCGACGGGCTAAAGCTGCAGATTTCTAGCACTTTTCGTTCTAAAGTTATTCGAAAAACAGTCATACACAATCTTTTAATAAAAATACGTATCAGATATGAGGAGCAATCGTCGATTATCATAATCAGGATTATTTATTTAGTCGATTTTTTAACAACAACTGGTGATACTTATTTACGTGTAGTGTGCAATAAAATATCAGTTGTAATAATGGTTATGATATATTTCTAGGGATAATAAAAGCTGCTTATATTTTCAAAAGAGCAAGATAATCCTACACTGATACAAGAATGTTAGGCGAGGGGTACCGACAACAGCGATTTTAGTCGAACATCATACTAAATACCAGTGGCGATCAAGCATATAATGTCCGCAGTGTGCTCATATCTAATTAATCAAATCATATCAATTAATCAATCATTCATACAACTGGCTTTGGTGATGCATTCACCAACTGAATAATTTATGCATTACCACCTCACTGGTTAATAAAAAATGTGTCGTATACTATAAAGCAGTAACTACAGGGACCTAGTCCAAAAAGTCTTTACCTGTCGGAATGTTACTGATTTTTCAACAAATTTGAAATGATAAATTAACTTACGTGAGATCAATGATGTTGATTGAAATTGACTTCTTGGTATGCGTTGTTCTATTGATTGTTCCTGTATAGTGTAATACTTCTAAATAAATTGAGATACAAAAAAATACTCAAGGACTACAGTGCAATTCAATGAGCTTACTGTTCCTCCCCTGTCATTTCGCGCTGGTTGCGGTTCGCTTGAGAGGACCTAAGCATTTTCAGAAACCAAGTGACACTGTACACTAGAAACAATATAACTACTTACATATGAAAATTCGCCGCTATTGTTAGTATTTATTGAACGACATTTGACGTATAAACAATAAAATATTAAGATGAATAGTGCAGCAAAAGCAATAGGGCCCAGCACAGCACCGATTATCCAGAGTTTTCTATCGTTTTCAGGTACTGAGGTATTGGTTGTGGCTGAGGTATTGGTTGTGGCTGAGATAGTGGTTGTCGCAGAACTGATGTATAGATAAGCATTTTCTCCATCCCTAACTTCAGCGCCGAGCAACATCATCATTCTCTCTCTTGGATACGTATTTATAACATCTAAAGTTCTTGGACCAGGTACGGTTTTATTACAATCGGTTACAAAATAAAAGACGCTGGAAAACCCTCCTTCAACCTAAAACAAAGCAAATGAACAACGAAACATAGGAAACACCTAACTTCCGACCTTACATTTAATGAAAAAAGATCCACCACTTCAGCTCCGTAACCGCAAACCCGCTTCTGCCATTTACGATTCACAATCCTACGGCAACCTGGAGTCAAAGTATCATTATAGCAGTCAAACGCATTTTGAACAATCACAGACAACCTCAATTTTAAGTACACCCGGTCCGAAGCATTAAACAAAGATCCTCGAACAATCCTAAAATCTAAAAAAAACCGTATTTCCATATTACCATCTACCATTAATCAAACAGCAAACAACCTGTACGTAGCACATCCGCAGCCGAGAAAGGCGCCGTGGTTGTTGTCAAACTCGTACTACTTTGGGTTTCCGAGACATCCGTGAGAGCATCTGTCGCTTGCAAACTGGTCTCAGTGTGCGTTGCGGTCAGACTAGTACTACTATCTCCAACAGACGTCTCCACCAATTGTTCTGTCTCTGAAGTGGAAATTGCACCATGAGATTCTGAAATACCGGTAAACATATCGGATGACGTGTCAGTGCCTGGCATAGCGACACTGGTGCTACTATCTACCTCAGACGTGTCCGTCGGCGATTCTGTCCCCAAAGTGGAAACGCTGGATTGCGGCACCGAAATACTCGCGTTCTCGTCGGTTGACGTGTCAGCGCCTGGTACAGTCACAGTGGTGGTACTATATCCGACAAACGTGTAACTGGGTTGTTCTGTCTCCCAAGCGGAAATAGTAGTTTGTGGCGT